CTAAAAGCCTCAAATACTAGTATGAGGCCTTGATAATAGGTTCCGTTGAGTATTTTTAGGTATGATTTTCTAGATGATCTATACATGAAACTAGCGTAATACAGTTTTCAGCGAAGTAGGGATCTGTATAATTCAATTAATGTCTATCTGCTTCCCATTCAGTATCGACTATCACACACGCACACAGGTTGGAGGAATTCACTCCATTTTTATTTTAAATATTTTAGATGAGGATTGAATGTTAACTTTTTGTCAAAAATGATGCCTAAGAACTTGTGTCGTTCCACTACTAGGATTTCTGCGCCGTCTAATTTTAAACAGGGGTCGTTTTCTTAATATGCAGAAATGTAGGCATTTTGGTTTTTCATTTTGGAAAATGTGAAACCATTTTGTGTATTTTATTGGAGTTGTCTTTCTCTGGCATGCATATGTCCAGATCTGTACATTATGAGAACGTCTTAAGCTTAAGGATTTAACTATGGAGTTAATTTTTACGCAGAATAGGATCACCGAAAGAATTCTTAACTTGTGGAACTCTTTCTTCTTGCTTTTGCAGTTCTGACAGCGTAGTTCTTATACGGATTTGAAAAATTCAGTCTTTCAGGAAATTCTCTATGAATTGAGTCAGACTTGCTTTTAAGTTCAGTTCATGCAGATCTTTGTACCATACGCTTTTTGCAAGTAAAAAAAGGCTGCAGTGAGATGTTCCTTCTTGATGAAAGCTTGCGTTACAAAGATTTCTAGGCGTACTAAGTGGTCTATGGTAGTTTTTTTTTTTTTTTTTTTTTTAACTAAAAGCATATTGGAAGTTGCTGACTAAGCCTTTAGTTTCCAGGTATCAAGTCAAACTATTGTTGATCATTCTCTCCATAGCCTTACGAAGGCAACTGGTTAATGTAATCGGTCTGTAGTTTTCAGGGTCTATGTCATCCTTTCCCGGTTTTGGAATAAGGACGATGAATGACTGTCTCAACATTTCTGAGATGTTGGCATTTTTCCATATATTATACACTTTTAATAACAGTTGTAACGATTTGTTGTGTAACTGTTTTATAAATTCTTAGTGGATATCACCTGAGCCCGCAGCTGTATTCTGGAAATTCTTTAAAGATTCATTTAGTTCCTCCTGAGTGAATAACTCTTTGCATTATTTGATTTAAAATTTAGTCGTTTTTTCCGCTTTTTATTTCAGCGATATCCATTTTACTGATTATTTTAGAGTTATTTATCGAGGTGTTTTTTACATTGTTTGGTATTTACCTTTTAATTTTTTATCATAATTCAAAACAATTGTTTTTGTAGAATAAATGTGTTTGCTGACAGATTTTTTTCCAGCATTCTTTTTTGATATCCTTTAATTATTTTCCGTGATTTTGTTTAAATTGCAGCAAATTAGAAGTTGTAGGTTCTTTGCTGAATTGCCCTTCTTAGCCTGATGGCTTTTTACATTTATCATTGAACTAAGGTTTGTTGCGTTTCTTTTTTTTTTCTCCTCTCATATCGTGGGGGTGGTGAATTTCCTGGAACATATTTTTAGCTATAGAGATGAATATTTGCGTAAAAGGTTTTAAGTCTTTGATGTTTTCCCCTTCAACTAGTTTTTTTTTTTTTTTAATTCTTTCCAGTTCGATCCGCCTTATTTCCAACGGAGAGGATTTTTGTCATTATGTTCTGAGCTTTATAGAACGACAGGCAAGTGGTCCCTACCGCATGTGTCTATCAGTACCTTCTAAGAAAAATCCATATAATTGATGGATCACATAAAGATAAGTCTATTACTGAGTAGCTGCCACAAAATGGATTTATGCAAGTCGGGATTTTACTATACTAAATCCATAAATCTTTGTTATAAATAATTGATTCTAAAGTCCTTACCTTTTAGCTTGTGTCGTTACAGCCCTTAATGGTCCTGTGACAGTTAAAGTCCCCTAAGATCATAAAAGGGACAGAGTTGTTTCATGATTTCCTGAATTTTAGTTTCATTTACTGGTTCATCCAGTGAGATATACTGAGCAGATGTTTATTGGCCTGTGTAAGTTCACTTTAACAGCAGTCGCTTGTAAAGTAGTAGTTAAGTTTATTTTACTTTGAGGTACATCATTCCTAACTAGGAGGGATGTACCGCCCGACGCTCGAAGCCCAGTGCCATGTACGTATTTGTATTGCTGTTCTTTTATATTCAGTTTGTCATTTTACTTAAGGAATGTTTCCTGATGGTAAACAACTACCGGTGATAGGTCTGTTATTAGCAGAAGCAGTTCATTTATATTTGCCTTTATTCCGCGGTAAGTTCTGATTGCTAAATGTTTTGGGACTTAAGCTTAGTATGTTGTTGTGATTTAATTTATGGATGTTTTATTCGTTTGTGGGTTCTGGCTTTCCACCTTTCCTTCTAGTTCGTCAAATCCCTTTTTGGTAGAAATTTGGTCACCGTTTTTCTGGTTTTTGTTTTGCTGTTTTTGGGGGAAATAAGTTCTTAAGTTTATCTCTAAAATAAATTTCGGTGGACCGATAGGAGATCACTGTGACCTTTTTAGGATATTTTGTGATATGTCCCGGAAAGGGATATTTTTGTTCGAAGTAGCAAAGTGGTTGTTGACTACTGTAACCGGTTAGGACAATCTAGAAGGTAACCGTAATGGACTGGTCCTCGTCGTAGTGGTAGGCAATAGACGAAGACAATAGGCGAAGTCAATAAGTGTACCAATAGGTCCTCTTCTGTCCTCTGGGTCTGTATTTATGGCTGACACCAGCCAATCATATTACTGTGTATGCATATTCATTACATCATTTTGTATTTTTTGGAGGAGTCGTCTGTGTTTTAGCGGTAAATTTTCTATTTCTTTTTTTTTCTTTTTTTATTTGATTTCTTCCATTGGCTTTCTTTGGAGGTTCAGTCTGCACTATCCTCTTGGAGTATATGTCTTTCATGTAATCCTGAAATTTGGGCCATTCATTTGGTCTCAAGTATACGTGCTTCACAATGAGAACTCTGTATTTGTCAGGTTGACTGGTATTCGTTGTGATTCTTCCTTCCTTTATTTTTGCCTAGGAAATGCCTTTCATTTAGCTTTTTAGAATGTCTTGCCTCCACAAATGAGATATTTCGTTTATGTTTCCATCTCGACTATCTCTTATTTTCCAAAAGTCGCATGATTGGGAGTATGCTGGATTGTCTTGCTGGCAATTAACACATCTTACTTCAGAGTGGCATTCTTCCACGTGTTGGGCAACTTCTGCAGCTATCGCTATGATACCCAGATATTTTTGACACGGTAGGAATATATTGTTCCACGAGATCAATATTGTATTCTACTTATTTTCTTGGGTATTTGAGGTGTGATAAAAGTAAGGATATACATATATGTTGTTTTGTTTATCCTTTCTTTTTTATTGTGACTATGGTAATCACTGATCTCCTGGTTTCCTCAGGCAAATGTAATTTTCTCAGGTGTGTCAAGAGAACTTTCTGCTTCTAATAATTTCCTTTGAAGTGTTCAGTCTTTGATGAGGGGAGTTTTTTTTTTTTTTTTTGAAAGTCTTCATGATTAAACTTTTTTGTATCTGTCTATATTTCTGAGATGAGGTATTATGTATACCATTATTCGGACATTATTCTCATTTTTTATATATTTATTAAACATTTAGTTTCTTCAATTGAGCGGTTGAATTGAACCTTTATTTCGTCACTGGGGTAGATTGAATTTTCCACGCCATGTCTAATGGATGTCAGTTATCAGTTATCTCATGTTAAAGCAGTGGGGAACTTGAGAGGAATTAACAGGAGGTAACTGATAAATGAGATCCATTAAACATGGCACGGAACTAGAACAGCTCACCCCAGTGAGCGAAATAAAGGGTTCAGTCTGACATTCCAACCACCGGAAAAAGGGTTGAGCGTACAACGGTCAAAACGTTGTAATAAATATGGCGGCAAAGATGAGGACTATAGTTTTCTATTTTCTACTAGCAAATTGTCATTTCTCAATTTCTTAACTGTTTGGGATTAATCCTATTGGATAACACTTTTTTCAATTAAGAAAGGGGGAAAGTTTTGCTAGAGGAATTTCCTCTTGAGATGCGAGTATAAGAAATCTTTGGAAATCAAAACATTTCTTTTTCAGAATCAGTGTCTGGAAGATATCGTTTGTCTTTTTTTTTTTCTTTTTTTTTTTTGGTATTTATTTATTTATTTAGGTTGTTCATTATTTCGATATGGAAAAATTCACTGTCTGTCCTCTCCACCCACCCCGGAACCCAACAGTGGGGCGTGTCAAGGGAGAAACCCAGTCGCTTTGACAGGTGAGGGTTACACAAATCAGTATACTTGTATTCGAGACACATTCTGGGCACTCGTTACATTTCCAAAATAAGTGTACAAACTGGTATGTTTACAGATGTGTCTAAGTTTAGATCTTTTCGAACCGATTAACCCTCAGCCTTCTAACGCTTATAAATTGAACAGAGATGGTATTTTAGACTGGTGTATATTTGGAGTATTGTATTTAGTTATGAAGTACTCCTTAAATTGATATAGTTATAAGCGCTAGGGCTTAGCATGACCAGCTGATTGATCGGATCGGGCCTCTCCGACCGCCTGTCTAGTCCAAGTAAGGGCCAAAGTAGTGTGGTGAGAATCCGAATATCTAACCCTCATTCATGAGGCCCTCAACCAGCAGGATCACGCCCTCAGATATAACGGATCACGACCCACGGCAAACAGGTGGCCTCGTTGGGGAGATCTTACTCCTCTGCAGAGGTACAGTCGGCGTATTCTGAAACCCCAGCTGACACTACGATTTATTTTTTTTTTATTAATTTTTTTTTAGATAATAATTATTTAGTGATACAAGTCTTACTAATTAACCCATAGCTGGAGGGAAGAACAACAACAACATTTGTGTGTAAGTGAATATAACAAACCAAATGGGAATTGGAACTCGGCTCTCCGATTAAAAATGCAGAGCCATTATCCATTACACCAGCTTCACATTCAAGCTTATAACACCTAATATTCCCAAGCGGGGACTCATCTAGGTACTGACCTGGGTCAACGTTGCTTAACTTCAGTTTTCGTACGCGAAACGGTGTCTCAATGAGATTTGACCGTAAGCTCTAATAAAATGACGAAATAAACAAGATAACTGATATTTTTTTTTTACTAGCAGTATAACCCGTCTTCGACCGGGTCTTTCATTACTGGGAATTTTTGCCGTTCATTTGAAGGAGTTTAAGTTTAAAGTCAGTCCGCCCGAAAAATCAATATTAGTAACAACAATTGGGTGCAACTGAGGCACATCCCCAAATGGGGAGGGGTAACAATTTGAATGGGGATGACACTGAAAAGGGCTGTTTTTGCGTTCTCAATCTTGTTTCAACCTCATGCACAGCAGCAGTTGAAGAAGCGTTTCTCCTAAGCCATTGAGTCCTTTGATCATCATTTTCAGCCTTGCGTTCAGGTATGCTCTTCTGGAAAGCCGATGGCTACGTTGATCTTTGGTCGTAGTGGCTCTGATTGAATCATTCCGAGAGGCATTTTGAGACAGGTGAACTGAACGTTCTAAAGACGATTCGTTATCGCATCTTATTTTAGCATGGCGGACCTGGCGCCAGCGGTTTTGTGACCTAGGCAAGTTCTTTTCTTTGGTAACAGGTCTTAGGCAAGTATGAATTGTCAAATGGAATGCATGAGCAAATACTAGAAGAGAACGCTGTAAAGCTACAGGAATCCCTAAGCTCGGATAACTTTAGGAAAGGTTGGAAAAATAAATGTTGAGTAATAAAAAAAAGCAAGCTTACTTATTACTACGGTGAATGCAATGCAAAAACTGGCAGGACAATAAAAAAAAATTAAATTGCTAAAAGGCTATAAACGACAATGAAAACAACGACTTAAAAATGTAGTAGTAGGTTATATGCAACGGAAAAGGTAACGTCACTTGAGAGAGATTGAAGTTTGGCCAAGAGAAGGGGAATGTGTAAGCAGGGCTGAACGTACAGAAGTTGAAGCGGAATTAAGAGGTAGCAATGAGCTTAGGACTGCGTAGACAATCAGCATAACACGGCGACATTTGAATGAATGTGTAAAGGGGCTTCGTGCAGCCAATGAGCAACTCGAACAGGTGTTGCGTTCCGCAGGTTATGCGTATGCGCGTGCATCAGCGTGTGTCGTCTCAGCGCGTGACACAGCGCGTGTTGCAGGGCCACACGTACACACCTTGCTTCACGCGTTAATTATCAAGGTCAGCAGCAACCGATGAGCAACTTGTAAGATGTGAATCACGTCCACACAGCATGAGCTAGGATTGGAAAGTTTGTGTGTGAAAAAGTAAATTAAATTTTGCCTCAAAATCAGTTTTTTTTCGATTTTTCACCTTCAAGGCTGTAATTTTTTTCAGACCATTTGGACAGAAAATGGACACTGAAGAATTATCTATCAAACAAAAAAAAATTCATCGAAATCGGATGAGAACTGTAGAAATAAACAACATCCGATCACACACATTTTGAGAATTATAGATATAGATTATTCATAAAATCACGTTATCTCTAGTTTAAATAACGAAAACATGAAGTTAAATATTAAAAGAATAATGCTGTAATGATAAAAAAAAAATATTTTACATCTGTAAACCTAAAGAACAAGTTTGTTGAAGCGGCTAAGCACCTATATAATCAAGTTCATTTAGGCGGAGATTGATCCTCAACGTTGCCATTAGGGCGTAAATGTGTGCAATATTTTGAGGATATGTAAAAGGTACGATGGAATAATTGATAGCGCCTCAGATTGAGGAATCGGAGAACCGAGTTCGAATTCTATTTGAGTTCGTTGCATTTAGTTACGTACTAATACCCTTGGGAAAGGTTTGAATTTAACTCAACCCCCAGCTATGGGTAAATAGCAGGACAAACTTGGAATAAACACTGAATTTATAATCCCGTTTCGTTATAGGTCTTGTTTCTAATTTCTAAGAAGGACTGGGGAACCTCATGATCCCCAGTACAAAATGAACCGGTAAGCCATTGCATTATTCTGCCTTGAATCTCACTGACTACAGTGGCGGTGCAAAATGGGCTAACTGAATAAATGATGATATGCGATAAATAACTGTTGACCCTAGACTTGAAGAGGTTAAGATCGTAATAATTTAGAAAACTAACTTTCAAGGGGGTTTCACAACGTAAAATTTCTGGAGAAGAAGCTGAGTAGAACTTCCTCCTTATTAATGGAATACTAAGGCAATGAAGAGGAGTCGACGTGTAGCTCGCCTGAACATCTTTCATAAAAAAAAAAACAACGATTGATTAGCCAGAGGCTATCAACGTTTCGTCTGTGGTTGAGTGGTTATAATGAGAATAATAATTCATCACCCACAAGGCCGAGAAAACGATTTTGGACACTGTCAACGCGCTCTCAGATATTTAATTTAGGTAAATCTGGAACAAAGCCAAAAATTTAAAGCCTAGAAACCTAACGGTTTGTTAAAAGTTTTTTGTGTTCCTAACGACAGCTTTTGATGAAAACATCGACCGTCTCACATTTCTGTTCCCTCAACGAGATGTTCTAACTAACGATAATTTTTTTTAATGGAGAATTCAGGATGTGTCAGACTCTCCGTATTATATATCTGTTAAAATTTCAACCCTGTATAAAGTGGCTGAATACCATCAAATCGACCGACTTTCTCTTCAGACAAAGAGTGCCTGACTTGTTACAGATTTGTACTTGGGACAAAATCAGAAACAGTCAAAGTTGTACAATGTAACCCGGATATAAGAGAGTTGTCGGGACCGGAGAAGAAGTCTCTTATATCCGGGTTACACTGTAGATGAAATTTACAGCGATATAGGTTACTCGTATAAACATGTACCTTGAGATTATATATCTCGAAAGAAAAACCATGACAAATCCATTTTAACGTGTACTTTTTTTCTTGTCAACTCGGACAATTTGGCGGTTGATATTGGAGGACAAGTGACATCAAGTCTCTTTAAATCTCTGACACTAATTTCAACATTTTTCCAAATCCAAGAACTGACGTAGTCTACAGTTTTAATCTTTTTTTCTTCTTCTTTTTTTTTTTTTTGAAGTGGTGAATTATCAGTTATCAACTTCAACCTTTTGGGACTGCGCCAATTATTATAAGCACGACTATCGTATTTAACATCTTCCATTCTCAGGCGAGGTCCTGTAATTTTATTTTATTATTTCTTTTATTTCCGTCTAACCTATTACATCCATTTTGTAACAGAATCTATTTTTAATGTTGCCCCAAAGCAGACCTTAATGTTTGGTTGGGGTGATGTTAAATCTTCCATGTTATTTTATTTTCTAAAACAGAATTAATTTTGTGTACAAATATCGAAACAAAACCATGACAAATCCACTTTTAACGTGTATTCGATTTAACATTTTTCTGAGGTCAAAATAACTAAGAGTCTCCCCAAGTAGCATTTCTTTCAGTTCTTTCGAAAAAAAGAAATTAACTGGTTTGTTTCAGGAAGAGGTATCCCCAAGGTAGCACCTTTCCATTACTCGTGGAAAAAAAAGTCCATGTTAATCGGTTTCGACCAATGTACCTAAACGTCGATTCCAATCGCTGTAAAAGCAGCTATTTTATTCCCAGTAATAAATCGTGAAGCTAGTGAGCGTCTGCTATACAAACTGGTTTAGAATATCTAATTGCGAAGAACCGCCACCATTTTAGTTGTTGGCAAATTACGAAACATTTTTATGCCACAATTAAAAAAAAAGCCAAAAGTGTAAATGTGAACTGAACCCAACTGATGCAGAGAGAACTCTAAACCTTAAACGGCCAGTTAATAAAATAAAGAAATAAAGAAAGGTCTTATCTCTTAATCTGATGACGGTTTTTTTTATTTCCAAGAAATTGCTTTGTTCTGACCTTCGGGGGGGGGGTTAGAACCGCAGCCCGAATGAAAAGAGATCTCGTAAAAGTAGAGCATAAAAACGGAAATAAAGCGTCGAAAGAAGTCTAGGTAATAAAAGTACAGCGTGAAATGCTCTTTGTAATATTAATGAAGGCCATACAACTAGATGAGCTTCAGGAGTAAAAAAACAAATAGCAAGTATAAAGGTAGAAAATTGCCCTGTTTCACTTGAACCAATAAATAAAAGTATAAAGGTGGCAAACTTGAGAGAAAACAAAAAAAAAAAAAACGAATTTTTTTATAACAGGTAGATCACACCTGATTGGTTAATGCAAATTAAAGCACGATCACATCAAGTGCCAATATTATTACTCGCTCTTCTTTCAGTCCGATATTAAGATATGTAACTCATTTTTTTTTTATTTGCTACTTCCATCTAGCAAATTATATTTTTAATAGATTTTTAATAGCATCTCTTGTTATTAACCGCTTCTATTTTTTCTTTAAATATTTAAGAAACTTATAAAAGGGATACATGGAAATATTTACCCCTTTAGTAAGCAGGATATTTCCCATTATATGCATAAATTGAACTTATACCATATCAGTCGATTTTATCTAGTATGTTGCACTCTTTTGCTCAAGTGGATGGTAGCTTCGAAACATTTGAAGCGGATAAAACCCACACACTACTTCTATATGGGTGTCCAAATCATTATGACAGGCTACTCGTTGCTGCGTACTCCTGACACCTGTTAAGAAGCCTGCTCAGGCACATTTGTATTTGTTCAGCATTCACAAAGCCTACATGTGGTTTATACTGCAACTATGCTGAGCAGACCTTAGTTACAGTTTCTGGAAGAGTGTGCAGTATGTGACATGATCTACAGTTTGAACGAGACCAGTATGCTCACACACTCGGTCATGATGCACAACCATTGACGGACTTTGGACAGCTGTCAACCCAGTTTTACTTACACGACTTTGGTCAACCCGTGGATATGGTTTTCAGGCGCCGTCCCCAGTCTGATTACAAGATAAAATTTCTGATAAATCGACTACGATGAGATTCGAACTCGCGTTTCATTGTCAGAAAGCGAAGGTTTTAATTACTCGGTCACATCCTAAGCATAAAATATTTCCTTTGGAATAACATTTGCGATGTTTGATTACTGTATATAGTCGAGTACAATACGAGATTTTATGATCTGTTTTCTAC